AAGCTATCTTTTTTGTCTACATTCATGATGAGAGGTGATTTGTATTCGGGGTTATAAGGCAAATCAATTACCTGGTATGGCTGTTGCGTACCCCGCTGATCGACCACGTGGAATCCCCCCCATCGGTTCCGCCCAGAGTCCGCTACCTCCGCGCGCCCCATGTTGACAACTTCCGCCTGCACAAGCGCGCTGCGCCTGACTGAGAGTTCAGACTTGAAAGCCGGTCCTACTACCTTTCTCCTCCTCCTCCTCTTCCCCCCGCCCCCCCTCCTCCTCCTCCTCCTCCTCCTCCTCCGCCTCCGCCTCCGCCTCCTCCTGCTGCTGCTGCTGCTACTGCTTCTGCTTCTGCTAATCCAGCTGCTACTCCCAGATAGCAACTCCGCACCTCCCCTCTCTCTTTCTCCACGATCTGGCACCTACCACCATCCATGGTCGGGTTTTTTCACTCAATTTAGTAGCGCGCCCGAGCAGACAATCCCTCTTCCCGTCCGCTCCTTCGCTTCTCTCTCTCTCTTTTTCCTCCTACCCCTCCTTCCCCTCTTCCTCCCGCCTGGTACTCTGTTCCCCCGCCACATTGTAGTCGCGATTGTTGCGATGGCCGCGACTTCCAGACACGCAGGCTCTCAATCCCCCGCGAGATGGGCGGGACGAAATATTGAAATCACACGGCCAATTCGCTGTGTCACCTAAATGTCGAATCTTCCCAAAAAAATAAATAAATAAATGTCGAATCTAACCAACGATGATGCCCGTATGATTTTCTTCTTTCCGTTTCTTTCCGCTTTTTGGCGGGGCGACCGTATGATATCGTTCTGCCGCCCAATTCATGGAAGGAGGAGGTTTTCGGGAAGATGCCTTTCCTCCTTCGGTCAGGGAGCTCTGGCTCCAATGGGCGGATTAGCACCCGGTGGCCACTTTATACCATTTCTCGATTTATGCGTGCCATCCTTGAATGCGCAGGGGCCATGTTAATATTCATTCTCTCTATCGTTCCAATTTTAACAGATGTCCCGAAGGACGGTGGCCACTTCAGGCGGTAGTAAGGGCGACTAAGTTAAAACTCAGGTGAGTTTTTTAATGTTTATTTCTATTTATTTATTTTATATTCTTTTATTGTACTCAGGTGAGTTTAGTGTCTTGCGGTATCTGGATTTGGTTTGGACTGTGGAGGAGGATTCCTCTTCCCTCCTTCAAGGCGAAAACAGTGAAGTTTAGTTCCGGGGGGAATTGTAGTATGGAAGAAAGAAAATACAGGGGGGACGATTGTAATGTATTTAATTTAATGGGGTGGAGAGGACAGCGGATATGGCCGAATGGAACACTCGCCTGATTCGTTGTAAACAGAGGGGAGGGGGGGGGGGGGGGGGGGGGGGGGGGGGGGGGGGGGGGGGGGGGGGGGGTGGGGGGGGGGGGGGGGGGGGGGGGGGGGGGGGGGGGGAGTAAACAGGTTGTGTGTGTTCGACTCCTCTGAACACTCTGAAAGGTTTGTATACTGTTTTTTCTTACGACCCGTCTTCACACGAATAGAACGCCCGGTCATTATAGCTGTATTTGAGCCAACTTTTAGTCTAGATACAGCGATAAAGACCGGACGTTCTATTCGGGTGAAGACGGGCACGGAATAGTACAGTTAGGAGCCACATATCCAACGGAGCAGGCATCCTTGGCGCCCGCCACCTAGAGAAAGACCACTGGATCCCCCGATCGGCACAGGGATTGGTCCTTTTGGCATGGTCCCTGATACTACCGGCTGTCCCCTAGCCGGTATCGCCCACCTGCAGGTCGGGAGCAGCCCCCGCATGTTCTCTCGTGAACACGGTTCTGGCTGCTACGGGGTTCCCCGTATGCCTACAATTAGGAGTAGTGGTAGGTAGGTAGTGTGAGGTGAAATTGAGAGAAGAATATAGCTTTTTTTTTTAGAAAAAAAGGAGGATTTTTTATTTTTATTTTTTGAAAAACAAAAAAGGCTAACAAATTCAATTACCTGTCGAATCTGCACAGGACGGCCTTTCAGGGCTGTTTTATTGTCATTATACTATTACGGGTAACCCCGTAGCAGCCACATCCGTGCTCAGGCCTCCAACGAGGGAGGGAGCATGCGGGACCTGCACCCACAAGCAGGTGCGATACCTCCGTGCTCAAGCCTCCAACGAGGGAGGGAACATGCGGGACCTGCACCCACAAGCAGGTGCCATACCTGCTACAGCCACATCCGTGCTCAAGCCTCCAACGAGGGAGGGAACATGCGGGACGTGCACCCACAAGCAGGTGCGATACCTGCTACAGCAGGTGGGCGATACGGGCCAGGGGTCGGGCCACTCACTGTGCTTCCCCTCCAGTCCCCTCCCCCTATGAGGCTCGTGGGGGGACCGGGACCACCGGCATATCTCTAGTTGGTGGGCACCAAGCATGCCCAGGAAAGTACATGAGCCCAGTGGGGATTGAACCCAAGACCTCCTGAATGCCACTTGCATCCCTTACCAATTGAGATAGGCCTCTTCTCCTCATCGGGGGACAAGTACATACATTTTCTGGAAATGGCTTTCTGTGTTTTCAGGGGTCCCCTGTATAGCCTTAGTTTGTTGTTGTTGTTGTTTTTTACCATGAAAATTTTATTAGGGCCCCACTGCTCAAGGCAATATACATAAGATGGCCGTGCATAGCCTTAGGAGTAGTGGTAGGTAGTGAAAGGAAAAAGATATGTTCCATGACATGGAAGAAAGGCAGGAAATTAAAAAAAAAGGAAAGAAAGAAAGCCAGTTACAGAGAAGATTGGCATGGCCCCGGCGCAGGGATGACAAACACAAAACAGAGAAAGGGTCCAAAAGTGCAAGCCGTCCTTCCGGACATGTTTTAAAGTTGGAACGATATAGAGAAGGGTTCTTTTTTTCTTTAGCCAACTTGACTCACATTAAACCTGTTCCACCAGTACTTCCTGAAGTCGTGCCCGTTAACAAGCCACGATTTTAGGAAACGTACGGCCCACTATAGGAGCGCCCGGATGAAAAAAATATTTCTACTCTATTTTTTCCTGCGGCGAATAGCTGGGTCAAGTACTGGTGGTTTACATCAACATAAACGACGCCAGGGACCAACATAAACGAGGCCGAGGACTGAGAGCAAGGGCAAGTCGGTTGAACTTCGTCGAATCAAAAACAACCATGATCTTCAAAGACAACCCTTCTGGCTCGACTGGACTGTTTAGGGTTTAGTATGGTTGACCTGGTTGCTCCGTGTCTGATGATAGTTTGTTGGGCTGATGGATGATTGTCGGTCGGGGTGTTTGATGGGGATTCTTTTTATCAGGGTTGGCGTCAATGGCAGGAGGTCAATCCTCCCCTGTTGCTGGCAAGTAATCAATGCCTCTGCTGTCGAGAGAGACATGGCAGTTACGGTGGAAAGGGATTTGGCTCCATATAACGGATACAGACTGTATGAACATAACCACATAGTATGGAATGCACATTAGCACATTTCCACAAATCATTGTATAGAGACGCTGGACCCGTTTTCCAGCTGACACTCATCATATCATTGTACAGGGACGCTGGATCCGATTTCCAGCAGGTGCAGCTCCCCATCAATAGACGGAGCCTTCGACGCTTGGGCCCACTTAACGAGGCTGCTATTATCACCTCGTTAAGTGGGTTTTCCCACATACAAAGTTTTGGGGGGGGGAAAAAACTCTTCTAACTTGTTGCCAATACTCCCTATCGTGACCGATACAATCCAAACTGTTCAACTAACACTACTCTAACTACAGATCCAAGTTGTTCAACGAACACTGCTGTAACTACAGATCCAAACTGTTCAACTAACGCTACTCAAACTACAGCCTAAGATGGCCATCGGGCCTACATTGTGAGATCTATCTACTTATAGGCGTGACTTTCTGCGCAATCACACTTGGGGGGGGGGGGGGGGGGGGGGTCGGATGGGCTTAATCAGATTGCATAATCCCCCCATTCCTTTTTCTTTCCTTTCCTCTCTGTTTTGCGAGATCTTGGTCCCACAATGGTGGGAAGTCAAGACGCGCCTTCGCGAGCGATGTGATAAGCTCAGACCCGTACCCCGCGGCTTACCGTATCCCTGAGGAAAAATCCCCTGGAAGCCCCGAAATACGGATGCGAACAAAAAGGTTTTTTTTTTTCTTTTTACTTTTTGTTTTCTTTTTGAAATGGCTTTTGCGTTTTTTTTGTTAATAACTCCCGCGCGGGCAAATAGTGGCCGCGGTATGAAAACCAAGAAACGGTTTCGGTTGGGACTTTTTGAATTTTGCGCGCGTGCGCCTAAGCTCCGACTTCTTCGCACGTTTCGCACCCCCGTTTCTTGCTTTGCGTCCCCACGCCATCTTCCTTTCTTGCTGCGCGCGTCTCCCCCATGCAGGACTCTTCGTCTTCCCCTACGCCCAACTCGATCCTTACCCCGTCGTCCTCCGCGAAGTGATTGGCTGCGTAGTTGGGATGCTCGGATCAATATGGAGAGCGGGAAACCACGCACCACTTGAACGAACACCCCAATCAAGTAGGACCGTGCAACCCCGCGGGTCGAACCCTCTGACCCCCCCCCACCTTTCTTTTGTCCTGCTCATCTACACCCTGCGCTGCCCGCACCTCGCGCTGACAACCCACCGCCTCCCGCGCTATAAATTCACACAACCCTCTCCTCTCCCTCTCTTTTGATCTCGGCTGCAATGCTGCGCGAGCTATGCGCGAAGTCCGCGGTGCCGAACAGGCTCGACGAGCCCAAGGACGGGCGGAGCGACGACGCGGAGTGGACCCGCGGTAGACTCGGGGCGAAGCAGTCGGGGGGGACTGAGCAGTGGTGGGGATTGGACGTCGGCCGCGGCAGGGCCTTGTGGCTATGGTGGTCGGTGGTCTTGGGAAGTTTTGAAGGCTGCGCCTGGGGGGCGACAGTTAATTAAGAATTTTTGTATACAAGAAGGACTCGCTTTTATCTCCATTGCTGCTTTGTCTATGCATGGCGTGTGTGTAAGGCCCCGAGTGATGGGAGCTTGTCGTGCGCATGAGTGATGTCGAAGGTCTATGGATGATTGGATGTCCTGTCAAGGGTCGATTGAGTGTTTGCAGGTATGTGTGTGTATGTACTTATCCGGGCGGGGACGGGGGAACTGAACCGGATGACCGTCTGCTTAGGAGTATGAGTGTGTTAATCCCATTGTTCCCCTCCCATCCGCGGCCCTTCCTGCGCGCACGCGCAGTCTCGGTG